ACCTCGATAGGTCTGGGCTGAGTTTTTCCACCGATCTTTCCTGGTCCTCCCACATCTTGCTAGTTACTAGAAAGATAATTCGCTTAACGTTCTACATTAGGAAATTTAGGCAGTCTGGCATAAAACAATCTTTGCTTTCTCAGTTTGTCAATTCTTGCATTCTACCCGTACCCCTTTACTGCTCCCCATTAATCTTCCCTGGACTATTTAAGAAAGACCGCTTCGCTGAGAAGGGCACTAAAAGCCGTTAGTAGGGCAAGTGGGATATCGTTAAACCAACTGGTTAACACTATTGTGGATAGACATATAATGTCATGTAAGAAACTAGCAAATACAATATTGTCAGACCCCGAGCATCCTCTCTATACGCAGCTCTCTCCTTGCATTTCATCTGGTAGAACTAGAAGCAGCTATAGGAGGCTATATGCTAGGACTACCATGTACAAAAACTCCACAATACTATATCTGGCACAGCTGTTATGTGACGAGAAATCTGTTAGGTATGACACGATCAACTTACTGCGACACTATAACAAATAGACCCACTAGTTTTTGTTTTCCTTTCCTCGTTACTTTCACACTGTTGTTCTCATTTTCTATTACACACTAATTTTATTTCTTATCCTGTGGTGCATTGTTTAAAATGTAAACGCAACGCTGTTCTTTTTATTTTTTTTATTTGTCTTTTTTGATTGTTGCTTTTTGATTTTAAAATCTTATAAAATTTATGAGGTAATTAGATGCAATATATTGTAATAAACGCTGAAAATTCCATACCTGTAACACAAATACTGTTTGGAATAAATCTATTATTATTATTATATACTCCATGAAGCCCAACACGGTTTCAGAAAAGGCAGATCCTGCGTTACTAACCTACTATCAGCTTGGGACGATTGGACATCATGCTGGAATATGAATGTTCCAGTCCATGTGGTCTTCTTAGACTTTGAGAAGGCATTTGACACTGTTCACCATGACCTTCTCCTACATAAAATAAGCCAGGGAGGTATAGGTAAGCCACTTTTGTCATGGTTAAAGGACTACCTAGCTGAAAGGCAATTTCGCACTAAGGTCAATCGAGCCCGATCATCTTGACAGAGCTCGTTATCAGGAGTGTCGCAGGGTTCTATCCTAGGACCACTGATGTTTTTGATTTTATCAATGATCTACCATGCCGTATAAGCTGCCCGCTGACGACGTAAAGATATGGAGGGCGATAAAGTGTCCGGAAGACTCAGATAGGCTCCAGGAAGATCTAAACCTTCTGGAAGACTGGGTGGTGGCCAGTGGCATAACTTTCAACCTGAAAAAGTGCAAAGTAGTGAAGTTACGCAACAGTGGAATGCAAGTTACACCCTGTGCAATGAAAGCTTGTCCTGCACGACGTCGGAACGCGACTTAGGTCTAGTTCTAACGGAAAAAATGGACACAAGCGTAAACTACACGGGGGATGCAGCGAGGACATATGCGGTCATACACTTTACACATAGACAGTTAGGTGCACTCACTCCTGAGCTCTTTCTAAGGTTGTACAAAACATACGTCAGACCACACCTTGAAGTACATAATATTATTGCACTCCCACTGCTTAGAAGAGACGCCAACATCTTGGAAAGAGTCCAACGACGGGCAACAAAAGGAGTGGTTGGTCGCCGAAATAAACCATATGATGAAAGGCTGAAGAAATTAGACCTGTTCACACTTACCTACCGCCGGCTTAGGGGGGATTTGATTACTGCCTACAAAATAACAAATGACCAGAATCACCCAAACAAAGGTGTTCTGCCATTGAGTAGGTATAGGATCCCACGTGGAAATCCCAGAAGGATAGCTCACCAGAGGGCAAGGACCTGGGTGCGCTCCCACTTCTTTTAACTGCGAGTTTGCCATCTCTGGAATTCCTTACCGGCAGATGTAGCTATGACACCGTCTGTGGACGCCTTTAAGCGAAGGCTGGAAAACCATGCAGCGACACAAGGACTGCTTCCAAATGGCCTACCTCCTTAAAATCGCATACACCATTCAGGGGTAGACAATTAAACTTGTCGGTTTACTTCTTTACATCTTCTCCCGTCTTACTCTCTTAACAATTTTAACTACACTTATTATTACTATTATATATATATATATATATATATATATATATATATATATATAGACTAATAGACACTTGGAAACTAATAGAAGACAGAAGGATAGTGAAACAAAAGATTATCCAGTGCACCGACGAGCAACAAAAACAGGAGTTGAATGCAAGCTACAATACGCTGAACAAAAGAGTGAAGAACAGTGCCAGGCTAGACAAAAGAAAATATTATGAAGCCATGGGAAGTGAAGCAGAACAAGCTGCAGGCAAAGGAGACCTCGTCACACTCTACCAAACAACTAGGCACCTATCGGGCAAAAGTTCGACACAGATTAAGCCAGTAAAGGATGACAATGGAAAGTCAATCACCAAAGAAGTAGAGCAAAGAAAACACTGGACTGAACACTTTAAAAGACTTCTAAATCGTCCGCCACCTACAACGCGACCAACAATACCAACAACGGAAGCAGATCTACCACTGAACATCGACGCCCCGACGAAATCAGAAGTCATGAATGCAATCAAGATGCTAAAAGCTGGAAAAGCAGCAGGACCAGATGGAATCCCAGCAGAAGCATTGAAAATGGATCCAGAGACAACAGCGGACTTCATGACACCACTACTGGAGGTGTGGAAGGAGGGCAAAGTACCTGAGGATTGGAAGAAAGGATACTTATTCAAACTACCAAAGAAAGGAGACCTAAGTCAATGCAAACACTGGCGCGGAATTATGCTTCTGTCCATCCCAAGCAAAATACTAAGCCGCATCATCCTGGAGAGAATCAAACAAACCCTGGATGGAAAACATCGACCGGAACAAGCTGGATTCAGGAGAAACAAGTCATGTATTGATCAAATCGCCACTCTACGGATCATTATTGAACAAAGTTTGGAATGGCAGTCACCTCTCTATCTCAACTTCATCGACTTTGAAAAGGCCTTCGACAGCGTCGATCGAGAGGTGATTTGGCAACTACTTCACTACTAAAGAGTGCAATCGACAATTATACATCTCATCCAACAGTTATACGACAATGCTGCATGCCAAGTAATCCACAACGGGAAACTTACGGAAGCCTTCGAAGTGAGGATGGGAGTGAGGCAAGCTGGCTGTCTACTATCGTCAATCATCTTCCTGATTGCAGTAGATTGAATAATGCGACAGACAACGGGATATGAGGAAACAGGCATAAAATGGACTCACACAAAAAGAGACTTGGAGGATCTGGACTTCGCCGATGATATATGTCTGATTTCTCACAAACTGGAAGATATGCAAGTGAAAAGCAACAAGTTGGCAGAAGATGCATCCAGAGAAGATAGGACTTCAGGTGAACATAGAGAAAACAGAGATGATGAAGATTCCTTGCCAACAGCAGCAACAACAACAACAGACAACAATCAGCCATCATAAATGGGAGGAACCTGAAAGAAACAACCTCCTTTACCTAACCACCTATCTGGGAAGCATCTTTTCAACTACAGGCGGACGGAACTGACGGGGATATCAAAGTCAGAATCGGAAAAGCAAGACAAGCTTTCATTACTCTCAAGTCTGAGTGGAGGTCAACATCACTCAGCATCAAAAATAAGATCCGGATTTTCAACTCCAATGTGAAGTCAGTGCTATTATACGGATCAGAGACTTGCACTGCGTGTCACGAAGGGCACTTTGAACAACAGCTGTCTTCGCTCAATACTCACTATCAGATGGCCAGAAAAGATCAGCAACAGGGATCTCTGGCAATCAGCGAACCAACCAGCAGCCGATTGTGAAACAAATCTGCAGGAAGAAATGGAGGTGTATTGGCCATATTCTGAGGAAACCATCACATAACATCACTAGACAGACCCTCGAGTGGAACCCGAAAGGGGAGGGGCAAGTTGGTCGTCATTGCAAGGGTGACTTGGAGGAGGTCATGTGAAGAGATGGAAACATGTGGGCAGACTTGGAGCGAGTGAAAAAGTTGGCAGAAAACAGAAGGCAATGGAGATGCGCAGCTGAAACCCTGTGTTCCTCTAGGAATTAAAGGATATAATAATAATAACAATAATAATAATGATAATATATAATTAATATTATTCTCCAAATTAAATCAGCTGATTGTTGTTACGTTTTTTTATTTTTTTTTTCTGTCTGTTAGTCTGAATAACTTTACTAATTATATCTATTATTATTATCTCTTTTCTTTTGACGACGATACCGGAGGACTAACTGGTGAAAGGATCAGGTCCATTCACAGTAGTAACAGTCTTAACATACCTCATACTACAAACCACATAATTAATCCCAGCACTACTTCTTTTGAAGTCAACCGAAGCTACGACAGTCGATTGACGGGACGAGCTACGCAGAAGTTTACCGAAGATTAGGAACCTATATCTTACAATCAAGAAGCGAGCACAAAGAAATCAAATTGGTTTATACTAGCTTGTAAAAGCGATACTGGATATTGGATCACTTAATGTATAGTTTTAATGTATGTTCTAATTGAGGTACAATTCCGTAGACAAAGAAGATTTTTTTAAGTGTTGAATATGGGGGGAAAGGGTATGGACACCTAAGTTCAAAACAACGTAAAGCGAATGGAAATTTTAAGTTTGACTTCTAGTAGTAAACAATTCTCCCCATCTAAAAGACATACATTTTAAAATTACAGTACTGATAAAAGTACCCTTAAATCAGACCCTAAAAAAGCAATAAACATTAGAACCTTGAATATAACATTATGTAACATTCTGTTGCAAAATTTCCGTACAAAACACGATAGGTTACTTAGCATAACATCCTTATACTTCAGCATAATGACTAAAATTTTGTGGGACACAAAACTAAATGCGTCCGCACCAGTGACTTTAGTTCAACAGAAATAAATGTATGCCAGGAATGTTTCATTCAATGAATACTTACCTTTTTCCAATAATAAATGAACAAGTTTTATGTCATTCATTAACACAGCATAGTGAAGTGCAGAACAGCCACGGAAATCCGCCGAAGGATTTAAAAAGTCGCTGAACTGTGTCATACGCATCCACTCAACTGATCACATAAATTACTAAAATAATATTTACCTTCGGAAGACATCATTCCCAGATCACGTGCAGTCCTAACAACACCCGAAAAATGGTCAACCTCATTGGGATTTGCACCTGCTTTTAGCAGTTCAGTAACAGCACTGAAGTTAATTATTAGAAGACAAGAAAAATCTACTCATAATTCCTAATTACGACTGCGAGCATTAATGGTGTCCATCCCAATGGATGTCTACATTTGTGAACTTCCTTATTGTCTTTAAGGATGCTGAAACGCATCATTAAGATATAATCAACTAACCTTTGAAGTGATTTATTGTTCATAGACATAATATATTCAAACACATCAGCATTTTTTGTGCCACTAAGGCTAAAACTAATTGTGCTGACATCGAGATAAGTGGCAGGATACGCCAGAGCAAAAGAAATAAATCTTGAACTTCTCCATGGCCGGTAGAAACCAGGATAAGAGATCAAGTGCTTACATCTAACGAGTGCACAGCAGATTATGACGTGTCTAGCCTGTAAGACAAACTGGCGAAAACTACAGGTCCAGAAGGTCATCAAACACGTTGCCCTTGTAAATTAAAACTACCGCTGGCAATATAGTTATCATGGTAGGGTGTTAATTCTTTTTTAAGTATCTGCACTTTTCTTGCCTGTTCTTACATCCAGACATCCAGTTTTTGGGAACCCAGCTAGTAATCTCTTCGGGGTAGCTGGGAAAATTTCTGCAGGAAAGCTTGTAGCACGCTTTAGAGAGAGAGATGGTTTACTCCAAAGGTGAATCATTATTTTCAGTGGCCCCAGAGCCTCCCTAATGTTCCTGTAGTGGACCCGAATGTAGCCTCAAGGCTTCCACAGTATGTCCGAAGATTTGTATTCTACTCGAAGTGTGTCCAAGTGTTCTGCACTTCTTTTATGTGTGCCCAGAGTTTCGGCAGTCCACCCAAAGTCAAAGCTAGTTGAGGAGTTTGTTAAGATGTTGAATGACTTAGTGGGAGAATCAGTACTCCAACGCAAATAACTCCTTCCTGTCTTTTTGACTCACCTGCTATATCCAGTGAGATTTTGACGTAATGGAAAGGAAGAGGAAAAACCGTTCTGGACCATATTTGTTTCTTAAAACTGTAAAAGTCATGATTAGATATTTAGACTCTCTTAAGTCGTTCTAAGTCACATAAAAATCATATATATGGTTCTTTAGACTTTTTTCTAGGATATATTGATGCCCTTCATATAAGTGATGGCTGAGTTATCGTAGTTTTCCAATTTATCCCAAAGACGGTGAATATATTACCGCTGACTCTAGTGTACCATCTATTTATTGCACGTAAGCATCTAAAACCACAACCTGCGACTAAGCTATAGTCCATTTTAATTTCTGATTCATGATTTATAGTGAAACTTGGGTCAGCGTGTCTTCATGGAAGGGAATGATGTCCTACTATGTTGTTCATTCTAATGAAAGACGCTAATGTCTGATCATCTTTACTACGCCGAACGAACTGACATTATTAAAATGTACTTGCAATATGAACATATCACTGTCATCCCCACAGTTCCCTCCGAATATTTAGATTATCTGAGTACAAGACCACTTTAGATTTGGTGGATGTCAGTAACTAATCATTAGGAAAGAAATAATTTTCGCAGCCTAAGTACATAACCTTTTGATACACCACCATATACGGCTGTCATCTAAGGGATTTCCGAGTTTCCCATGACTTTGTCTTATACCGACAAAGGATTCTTTTTAAATGTCACTGTTACTTATACCAGATGGAAAAGCGCTCTATGATTGCGAAACTACTTAGAATCAAGAGCAATCCTGTGTGATGCATTTTGTCAACATTCCTACTGAAATCTACGAAGATAATGCCTTCACTTATATAAAGAGATTTGTTTGGGAACAGGAGGTGGGTTAGACAAAAAATGTTGGTTTCCAAAATAAGTAATGATGACTTTCTTGATCATTCTTCTGGTAAGGCCAACTGGTCTGTGATTCGGCAGATAGTATTTGGATTGTCCGCTTTGCATAATCTTTATTATCCCATCCCTCCTGTTAAGCAATAAAGCTGTTTATCAGGCGGATAGTCTGAAGGTAGTGTTGTTGAGTCGTCTGTGTAGGTTGCTGGCTGCCAGAACGCCCTGAGCGAGTCATCCGGACTGAATGATTTCTTAGATTCTGACTGGCCAAGAGATTGAGGCACATGCCATCATTGGTTAATTATGCATTTAGAATCTGAATTAATTTGTGATTGCCTCTCCTTCGTCTTCGTTCACCTCCCTCGTCTATGTATCAACGTCGAAGCCAGGGACTGCTTTTGAGGTTCATTCATGAGTATAATTACTTGAGTCTTTCCATTGCATTTTCAGCCAGATGCTTCAAGAATCTTCCACGATTGATGAATTTACTCAACCTCTTTCTTTGGCTGTGGTGGGTATATTCCAGGCATCTGAAATTCAGAGGGTGATAATATGTGGTTCAGAGCTTCCTAGTTCCTTGTTATACCGAAAGTCTCATATCTTACATATGTGTGCAGTGTTTCTTATCTTTGGGAACGGTTCACGAGGTGTACCTCTAAGATACCACGGCTTACATTGGCTTCAGTTGATCATTAGAGCTACAGCATTTTAGCCTTCTGAAATAGCTGGAACTATCACACCATTTTTGTCGGTTTCCCATTCGTTCAGCTGGTTCTAAAACTGATAATTGCATGGCCATTTCTCCCCAGAGATGAGAAAGTTATGCCCATTGGCTGAATAGGAGTGCTGTGAGTCCTAACTCGAGGTTTTCTTGATACGACTGTGTTGATTATTCTATTCGCCATATGCGACATGAATTTCTTCAAGTTAGTATCAGACGTTAGCATTGTTATAGCGACAATGTACTTTTACTTCAAAATATTCATGTTGGGATACTAAAAGAACGTTTCTGAGCAATATAATTAGAGTATACATGCCCGCGTGAGTATTTCCACCAATTTTTAGTTGATATTCTTCAGCCCTTGGACTTGTGCTTAATTATCGCGACACTTACAAGACTCTTTAAGACGTAGTATTTATTAATTATTTTTGTCTTTTTCTGATGCCTATTCTCGTTGCTCTAATTTGTCATTGTGTGATTCTGAACTTCTGAGAATAAATTGCTATCCTAGTCTTGACGATATTGTGTTTCAGCGAACTCCACGCCAGGAAGTAACTGTTTACAGTTTGACTGTGTTTTTGAAACTCCCAGTGTCAAGCTTGACATTTATGAATTTCCAACGTATTTTGTTCGAAACAAAACTTTCGTTTCTTCGGTAACTGGGAAGTCTTTTTGGTTGAAAATTTTTTCTTTGCATTAAGTGCTTTTAGTAGTCTTAAATGTAACTGAAGGAGCAGACGAGTCGTAAACGAATGAAAACCACAAAGCTGGACTACAAAATAATAATTTTACAAAAAAAATAACAAGGAGGGAAACCCGAAATGTAAAAGCATGTGTTCTATGGGAAAATTACATCAGAAAACTTATGAAACTCATTTAAATGAAAGAAAAGTTCAAACTAAAATTTACTGGTGAGTTATTGGTGTACATAAAAGGAATGAAAGCTGAAGGAGAACATGAAAGGGCGCTAATTCACTCCCATTTGAAAGTGTGTGGTTCGTGAGACACATTAAAATACCGATTATGTATCAGAATAATTAATCACGAAGTAGTAGATATTTGAGATTCCCTGCAGGACTGTAGTAATTTATTGTAATTGAAATATTAGTATTTCGAGATGACCGAATTACAAGAATCCAACCAAAACACAGAGAGGGCAGAAATCAGGAATTTGTATTTAGCGGAATTATAATGCAATTCATATATGAAAATATTAACAATCAACAGTAAGTATTTAAACAATACAGAGATAGAAATAGTCAATCACCACATCCGCCACACGTTGAATGTCTCCTTGCGTATTTATAATGATATCGCGGTTTGCTTGCCAGTCTCTGCGATCTTCTAACTGATTCTGTGATATCATTTCCATCAGTATCATCTAGACTTATTTCTGAATTATCTACAAAGTCAGGATTAGTAGCGGAGTCATTATAATCATAATCGGAACGACCTACCTCATTTATTCTCACTTGATCCAAGTGTCTGTTATGAACTGAATTATCTTCGATGTCTAATATCTTCACCATTCGATTTCCCATTCTTTGTAGTATGATACCAATAGAAGGTCTATAATCATTCCCTCTGTAATAATGTACATCAGAAGTCGTGGACATCAGATGCTTTCTGAGAATTCGAGATTTGAATAGTTTTGCAGGACTTTCATGAGTACTTGTATGCTCCGCATTGCGATATTGAAGTAAGAAGTTATCCACACATCTCTCTAGCTCATCAAAATTTTGAGGACTCATTGATGCTATAGCACTCTTTAATGTTCGTACAAAATTTTCTGCCAACCCGTTTGACTGAGGATGACGTGGTGCTGTGTACAAATGACGACAACCTATATGTTTGAGCCAATCATTGAAGTTCTTCTCCGTAAAATGAGTACCATTGTCAGTAACTAAGACATCTGGAATTCCTTCTCGACTAAAAATCTTTCTCAACGCTCTGTGAGTGAATTTGGCATTAGGACTATCTGTAATGATGACTTCTGGCCATCTAGAATAAGAATCCACAATAACTAAAGCATAATATGAATTTAAGAATGGACCACAGTAATCTGCATGAATACGCTGCCAAACCTCACAAGATGCAGGCCACGGTGTCCACGATGACTTCCCATAGGACATTTTATGTAAACAGCTAGAACAGCTCTTTGATCTTTTGTTAATGTCAGCATCAATTTCCGGCCACCAGCATGTTAGGCGTGCTAATGATTTCATCTTATCAGCTCCTAGATGAGCAGAATGTAGATCATCCAAAATCGCAGATCTTAATGTTGGAGGAATAATAATTCTGTCATTCAGACATAGAAATCCTTCAGGATGGACTGAAATCTCATCTCTTCGCTTATAAAAGTCTGGAAATCTTCGCTTACACTGAACATTCCAACCTCTTTTTGTTGCATTTATAACGCATCCGTAATATTTCCGAGTATCATTTATAAGTCGAACTCGATCCACCGGTAACGGCTGGACTAATAAGCAATCAGTATCATTAGCAACATTTTCAAATAATGAATAACGAGATAAGAAGTCTGCATGAGGTATATCCTTTGCCGATCTATGTTCAATAGTGTAATCATATGCACTTAGTTCTAAACTCCATCTTTGAACCATAGCAGCAGATGATTTATTCAAAGATTTTTCTGGATTGTAAATGAATTTCAAAGCTTGATGATCAGTAACTATGTGAAACTTAGTACCAAAGAGATACTTGTGCAAGCGTCTTATTGCCCATACAACTGCTAGAGCTTCTTTCTGGGTTTGTGAGTACCCTTGTTCACTCTTACTTAGACGTCTTGAAATACAAATAACAGGTTGTCCATTTTGCTCAAGTACTGCAGCTATACCCATAGGAGAAGCATCTGTAGTGAGAACAGACTTATCTTTCGATGAAAAAGGTCTTAAGA